ATGTGGTTGGATTCTGTTGGATTGCATTTGGCAGGTCATTTACGGACCCTTCGCCAAACCAGCCGGGCTGGCTCAGGGTCGGATGCTGTCGGATGCCGTGGGAAGGCGGTGGTGAGGTGAATCCTATGCCTCAGGGTACGTGGTATGGTTCCCCAATTCATCAATCCTGGATCATCCTAAATTTGATGCCTTTCACAACAATACCTACAAGTACGTCCTTGGGAAGGATGGGCGAAGGGCATGGGTATTTGAAGCTGAGGGGAGGCTTTTTCGAGAAATCCTATAGTACCAGAGGCTGAATGTCTCCCGAGCCCACCTGTATGTAATTAAGATTGGAACGTATAATTTGTGGGGGAAACAACTTCTCCCCGCCTAAATAAGCACTTGGTCCTTGGATTCGTCCGGAAATCCAACTGCTCAGTGATGTGACCGGCACCCGTTCGGGCTGGGTCGGGGGGTCAGAAAGGGTCATGTCATGTCGCAGACCAGGAGCTATTGAATGCTGTTGTACCATCACGCATTGGATGACAGTTGGAGTGCAGTGTACGTGAGAGCCATTGATAGCCCATTCTCATGCGCCACAAGAATTGCTGGCTAGCGTCTGCAGCGAAGCGCATATTTTAGTCTGTGGATGATTGATCGAGCAAATGGGTTCAATCTTATGTATATGACCAGTTGGAGCTCACCATGTACTCTATTCGAAGGAAGGCCATCTCACCAAGATTCTGACAGGGATCGAAGGTGTGCACATGAGGTGTTCTTCATCTTTGCCCCTCTGCACTGATGAGCACATGAAAAGCCACGAACGGCCCAAAGCTCTCCTACCCAGTGTTCACACTAAACCCCCCTGAAGCCTCCCTCCGCTCAGTCAACGGCGCCTAAGCTGGGCGGATGCATACGCAGGGTAGCCCAATGGGGAGGTGATTGGAGGGTTTGAGGCAGGGGCGTGCACTATTTAACTACTGGCTGGTGCTCTGTAGGGAGGGATCCCAAAAAAAATGACTCAGAAGATCTCAGAAGCGACTATGGATATGCATGGTTCATTTGCGTTGGCTTCGCTCAAGGAGGCCACGAGATTTGGCCAGGCTTGCAGGTGCAAACCGACCTACCATCATACCACCCCACCGAGAACTATGCGTGTCCCAACAGGCCAAGGTCCACAAAGGCTGTATCGATGGGTTTGGGCTCGTGAGTTGAAGAAAGAACAGAGGTTTGGCAAAGTGTCTTTATCTCTGGATAAAGCATGTGTGTGTGTGTGCTTCCAAAGCTTGGTCAGGTCGCACATTTCACAGCATTGGACTAAGGTTCGGCGACGCTGTCAAAGGTGGATTTGATGCTTATTGGCAGTTCAGCAGACGCGCTTAGCACTCGGAGTCGGTATGTAAAGAAATGGAGGCAGCACATATCTTCTTCTTCGCTTCACTGTTCAGTTCCCTGTTCCTTGCATTGACAAACAAGCCTGGGCGATTTGATTGCCCCAGCCCAAATGGAGTTGCTTTGGTTTTGCTTCGTTGCCATGTATGGTCTGAACAGCCGCACGAATTAACCCTTACGTTCGGTGAGCTGTGCACCACAGGGTTCAAGAATCCTTTGACCGTCGGAATCGGAGGTTCAAGAAAATGGATGTCACGGCCCCTTTCTCGGGGTGGAAGACGTTCCGATGCCCCCGACCACTGGTCTGAGGAGATGGCAGGTTATAAGTATTTCATAGTATGTTCTCACGCGCAGACACGAATGTACTGTAAAGCAACTCAACTCGTACGAAGAGACGAAACATAGCAAGCCCAAAAATAGCGGCCTTGCCCAGGAAAGATGTGGAGTTTTTCAGCCAGGACTGGGCGGAGTTCTGGAAGCGTAACGCAAACGGGTTATCGGCGCCTTTGAAGCAAAACTTACTTCCTTAGCCTCCTTATATACTCGATTAAGTCGGCGCCTACTGAATCAGGTAAGGTGCTGTAGCTACTTGTACGCTACTACCGACAGGACGGAGGATAGCTCACATGGGGGGAGCTTCCTTGAGGAAGCGCTCGCACCAATGATGTGGTTCCTAGATTTTTTTGGGAAACCTAGTTCTCGCCTCTTGAAGTCGTGGTTGCAGTTGCACTGGATGCGTCTTGAAAGTTTGAAGGTTTAACAGTCTAGACGTCCAACCATGACTGGAGCTGGGTAGAGAAAAGAGGTTCCATGTCCAAACATTGCTTCTAGCTAAGAACCTTCACTGCTTCAAGGAATCTTGGAGAGAGAGCCCTCACGTGCTGAAACTTGTGCATGAAAGGGTGATCCTCTTCATTGAGACATGCTTTCAAAGAACCTCGCCAGCATACGAGATAGTTCGGAGAGAACCCACCGTGAAGGGGACTCCCGTTGAATCCTCCTACAAATCAAATTTCTACTGGGGTCTCCCGTGGTCAGCCCGGTGTCACCCATGCACGCTGTCAGGAGCCTCTTAAGGAGCCTCTCTCTAAGGCTGATGCTCAAGCACAGCTGGATGCTGCTCTTGCTTCCAAGGAGGGAGAAGCACGGGAAAGAGATTGAAAAAACGAGGTGCATAGCCAGGCAAGCAGACCTGCGGAACAGATTCACAAGAGCTGAGCCGAAGAAAGGTTTCTTGTGGTGGTGTCTAGAGGAATGCTGTACGCATACGTATAGTGTCCGCAACAAGAATCGTAGCAGTTTGTCCATAGGTGTTGGCTTAGGTTTTTTCATTTTTTTGCGATGTAGCAGGTGGAAATTCCTTGTTCATGCAGGAAGCTGATGCTACAAGCAAATGCCGAGTCAGAGCAGTGCCACAAGCGAAAGCGCGCAAAGGTATCCCACCAAGCAGGAACATTAGACAAAAAGAATCAAAAAGATATCTAGAGTTGGCGAGCAATAGGTTGGGGGTACAAGTTGCAATGAGCGCCATTGCATTTCATTAGTACTTATTGGATCCGAATGCTTTTGGAGGATGTGGCAAAGGTGCAAAACGCCATCGAAGAGGCTAGAAGCACTTCGACAGCACGTGGGCACCTACCAATTCAACCCTGCTACTTCAGTACGTGCTGCCTATGTGTCGGGGGCAAGGCTGTTGCGAGGCGATGTCATGCCATGCTGAATCATTCGTAACATTGCGTTGATGTGATTATGCATGTGTATACATTTGTATATATATATATATATATGTGTGTGTGTATACCCTCTCTTCTTTGTCCTTTTCGCACTTCGGCTTTCAGTCTTCATGTTCCTTTTGTCCTTCTGTTTTTCAATGTTGGACATGGATGAACATGGTGTCTATGGTGTGTTAATGCTAGTTCATGCTCTTCTCATCCATTTCTCTCTGTCGCTCCGTTCTCCTCTCGGTCGCTCCATTCTTCTTCGCCTCGCGCGGCTCCCGCTCTGAGCTCCGAGGATCTGGTCTCCCAAGCTCTAAACTCCTCCGAGCCGAGTTTGAGCTGCAGAAGATCCTCGCGGAAGAAGCGGCCACTGGGCTCGAGGTCCAAACCGAAACCAGCGAACACTGAGAAGCACAGAAGCACCAATTTGGGGTCAAGAAGAGACCCAAACTTTGGCCAGCTTGTTGGCTTTTTCACGAAAGTCACTACACTCACTGGCCCAAACCCAACAACCCCATACAACCCCTGAAATTCTGCAGAGGTCGACCTGTCATCCCGTCCTCTCGTCCCATCCTCTCGTCCTTCCCTTCCCACGCGTCGCCTCTTCGGTTGCCGTGTCCAACGCTGAGGTGGTTTCAGCTCAGGCGGCTCGCGACGTGGTGGCCTTGCGCTCCGCGGTGATGCGCGCCTCACGTCCCACGGCGAAGCCGGAACCAGCGTAGGGGGGGCTGAAAGGGGGGGACGATCGCGATGGGGATTACGGAAGAGGCTCCGCAAGGTGCATGATGTTTTAGACTGGCAGATGTGGTGTGCATGTGTGTATGTGTTTTTGTTTTTCCGGAATATATATATATATACACATAATGTCATTATATAACGTGTATATGTATAAGATATACTATAGGGACCAAAGTAGTGAACCCAGAAATCGTGCATTTGGGCACCCTGATTTGAGCATCATTTCTTAGGAACTGACACGAGCGCACAGACCCAATCTCTGGAGATACTCTCTAACGATACGCATTGCCGTTGTCAGGTCGCCGAAGTTGGACTCTCACTTGTGCTGGCATCAACTTGTTGCATCTCGAAGCGGTTTTGCTTCGAAGTGCAGATTTCGTGGCAGGTGCAGTACTTTGAACTGATTTCGTGACAGGTGCAGTGAATCGTGACTTTTGGACTTGTGGCTCGTTTGCAGATTTCGTGGCAGGCGCAGTACTTTGTGGACCTTTCAGAATTCGTCGTCAGGGGGGAATGCGTCGTCATGCCACGAATGTGTCGTCAGAGTGCTAAATGTCGATACCCAGGTTGCGGCCACTCTGTATATAGGTACTTGTTTGTGCCTATGTATACCGACGGACCGAAAGATAGAATGACGGCCAATTTGGCAATGTGAGAAACGTACAAGTAGAATGCCGAAAATCGGCTCGTCCAGCGCGACGTCACCGCACAGAAATCCACCCTTTCTTAGAATGCCTGTTTGAGGGGGTTGGCGTTTTATCTTTCAGTCCGTCTACAAACATTAAAGTACACACTAATATATGGTAATGTTGTGTGTGTGTTGCTTCATAAAGAGGTGAGATGCAGCAAGCGGTGTTGTAAAAGCGGGTCTGTTTTCGGCATACGAACCGGGTGCCATTGCCGGCATATTCTTACACCCACGTTGCAAAAGAGTGACGAGCATTCTATTTTTCATCTTGTTGGTATATATCTAGGATAGAAGGTTCACGAATGCATGTCAGGCTGCACTGTGAGGCCTATGTCCTGTTATAGGGAACATGAACGTGCCTTTCACTAACTTCTGGCGTTTTGGACATAGAAACTGTACAAAGGGTTGCTGGAGTGTATCGCTGAATAAAGTGGGGTTATGTCTGTGCCATATTTACGCTCAATGAATGGTTCAATGTACCACTTGTCCATGTCAAGAGATGTTGTGGACACGAGAACAGCGGAACGGAAGATGTCCCCAACATGTGTCTTTCCTCGAAACAAGAAAGACCATTCACTGATCCAGACTGTCAATGCTGGATAGGAACATGAGGAACATTGAATGCAAATGCCACCGTTACAATAGGAATAAACTAAGTATCATCTAACCGTGTGCACCTTGAGCCGTCGTATGCCGTCATCAAATTTTTGTGAGTCTTTCAGGGGGGGCCAATAGTTCATTCAACCTGCTGGCAGATGGAGAAAGTTGTTTTGTACTTGTAGCGGGTTTTCTGGCCTGACGCATCTTGCGGTACTGAGGTCCTTGGGCAATTTAGGTCTTTCGGAACCATTTTAAACTGTCACATTCCACAAGTAGACCCGACAATCTCAGGACTGGGAATAGACCCGGACACCATGGAAAGCGCCAGACACGCCTTGCAAGTGCTGGGGACTGAGGCGCGATGTTCCAACTTTTGATTGAAATGGGTATGTAGGTGCCAACTCCATTCAGTTGAAAATTGTGTGTTTGTGATAGTCTAGGAAGTGGAACTGTTTGCAAAATGAAGCAGCCAATAAGAAAATGAAGTTTGGCGGAGTCCACTCGCGTCACCAGACACATCTCAGACTTGCATTCCTTCCCTGTTTTTTGCCATGGGAGAATATGCAAATCGTTTGGAAAATGTATGAACATCCCACCATCCCATGGTCTCCCGCAGCTTAAGACCCCAGGCTCAGTCCTATTCATTTTTTCGCCAGCGGTAGGAGATGTTGGTGATTGCCATGCGCAACAATGTCACCGGCCACCTGCAAAAGTGCTTCACGGCGCAGACTGTACGGTAAAACCAAGTCTTGCTGTGTCCACGGTCTTGGGCGCGAGTATGCGCCAGTGCCTACCATGCGTTCTCCTGTACATGAGAGTTGTCAAAAAACGAGGAGGTTTAGCGGGCTTTGACACAGGAGGTTGCTGCAAGAGGTACACCAGCAGAATCCCAGAGCGGTCAAATGATGGGTCACAAATCCAGCTGCCAGGGGAACAACCAAAGAGATGAGCTGGCCCCAAACAAGAAGCTTCACCGTTCACCTGGTAAGCTTCGCAGAAGATCCTGTAGTGTTGGAACATCTTAGATCCAGCTGGGAATGCTTGGCTTGCCCAGTAGGACGAAGGAGTGGGTCGCATGTGGCCACTGAGGCATAGATGTGGCCACCGCACGCGGCGGTGATCCCCAGCTCATTAAGGAGGCGTGCAGAAAAACGGGGGACTAGTCATGGAAAAGGAGCCAGTTGAGGTGGTTTGGGTATTTGAGGATTTGTATTGATATGATTTGATATGCATTGGGTGGCGAATGTGAGCATTGGGTGGCACATTCACTAGGGTCTGAATTTCCAGTAAATTTCAGTGATGTCATTACTTCTAGATTGAGGGGGGACAAACATATGAAAAATCTTGAAAACATTTGTACAGCATGTCGAGTCTTGCCCCAAAGCATTGGAGGCGCCCCTAAAAGTCTGATGTCCAAATGAGTTTACCCTTGGGTAAGGTTTGCGAACGATGACACAACCAGTTTTGCAGATCTCCAGCTGGAGCTGGATTCGAAGCTGGAGACCAGGCACAGGAGATGATGGACAAGAGCAATGCAGAAAGAAATCTCTATGCAGCCTTGGCCGCCCCCGAGGCAAACAAGGCGCGCAGAAGGCCTAAAGTGTTCAGCAAGACCCTCATCTTTTTCCCGAAGCTGTAACCACTGCATAGGCCCACCATGGTGTTTCCTCAAAGAATACATCAAACTTTGCTTGCAAGGATTGTTGGCTCCATGTGAGAGGCAGCTTTCATGTAACAGGTAGCCCTGACATCGAGAGTCAGCGGGGTCGTGGGACCAAATGCAGAACTCTGTAAGTGTAAGTAGTATATCTAGTGTCCAATTTGGTGGTCGGTCCTTGCATGCGAACTTGTCCTTGTTTGTTGGACACCTACAAGTAGCATCAAGTACTGTATATAACTATTTAGAATGTGTTAGACAAGCTGCTGTTTTGATGTGAGGTCGAGAAGCTCACGGCAGCCCTTGAAGAAGCAACTGCAGCGACACGGCTGATGTTTAACATGTTGACACGCTATTGACATGTTTCGACAGTTTTTGGCACATTGACCCTGCTGCTTTCGTTCCTAGTGCCTGCCTGAGGCCAACAAATTCAACAGGAAGACCTCAGCCGTTTTAGTTTTCACCACCCGTTTGCAGTTGTAGCCCGTGGAAAAGATGGTGCATGTCCGACAGCTACCTCCTTATTTCCTGGCCATGGATATCAGTTCACATGCTTGGCACTCCAAATGGTGTTCGTTTGCGTCACATGTTTCGGCCAAGGCTGGGGTCTCAGTGGCCTTGATCGAAGAAGGGAAACAAGCTTTGGAGGTAGTGACTCGGATGCAGTGGGATGCAGGAGGTGGGATAAGGACGTTGGGGGGTATGGTTGGGACATGCTGGGACGCCGGGACGTCCCCATGAGAGTTCGCCGGGACGAAGTCGACGAAGTTCATCCTTTCTTCCATCCCCGATCTGCAGTATGCTGGACAAAGTGAGGTTAGGCTTCGATGTGAAGAAGTTGCATCGAAGTGAACGCTGCAGTTATTGGAAGGTCGAAGGTGGAATGCCCCCACACACATACACACACACACATATGGATATGCGTACTGACTTGACATCGGTGCCACACGCCAACCTAGGTTAAAAAAGGGGCCTGAGTAAAACGAGGCACAAAAGTTGGAGGCCATCGCTCTTAGGTTAGAGGCCATCGAAGGCAGGTTGAGAGGCCATCGCTACTAAGTTGGTGACAAGAAACAAGACAGCAAAACAGTCAAAACAGTCAAAGTTGGAGGTCCTCTCACTTAGGTTGGAGGCCATCGAAAGCAGGTTGAGGGGCCATCGCTAGTAAGTTGGTGACAAGAACCAAAACTGCAGGCCCTCAAAGTTGGGGGTCTTCGCTCTTAGGTTGGAGGCCGTCGAAAGCAGGTTGGGGGCCAACGCTAGGAGGTTGGTAACAAGAAGCACAAAAAGCACAAGAAACACAAGACAGCAAGGTTGGGGGCCAATCTAGTGGGTGGAGGCCAAAGTTCAGGTTAAAGAACCCCTTACAAAGTTGGGAGGCCTACCTGCAAACCTGTAGAGTAGGCTAGAGGAAAACAGAAGGAAAGGCACTGACACACAAGTGTGTCGAGTACCATTTCCTCCTGTTTTCCTAAATAGTGGAACAGGCAGTCGATTTCCATAGCTTCATTGGCGTGACTAGGAAATCGACCGTCACGCCCCCTGTTCCAAACCAAAAAGGCTCCCTTTGATTCCAAGGGTTACACACACACACACACACGCACTGGTTTCAATTGGAAGTGTTGATCACTCACTCCTGAGGTCTACTCCGGCGTCTCTGGGTGTGCCATTGTATGCCTGTGGTCGTGTGGCCCTCCCCCACACATCGACGCGATTCGACGCGTCCTTCGTCTCTCAGGAAAAAGAGAAGGTGAAAGAGCAAAATGCCGCCAAGGAAATCCGGCTCTGTGGGAACCCTCTAAAGCTTTCCAGGCTTGACATGGTTGGACCGCTTGTTTTCACACGCCCGCACTGGTGTTTTCACCAGTTCAATGGGGGAAGTTTTGCTTCCCATCCTTGCAATGGACTTGGTGAATATGGATGGAGGTGCAGAAAGGCTTGATCGGCGAGTTGAATTTGGAAGGTATCACACCGGCAGGCTGTTAGAGCTTGGGAGGACTCGGCTTGGTCAACGCCCCTCCTTTCCAGGTTTGAGAATTTGGGATTAAAACTCGGAACCGATATTGGTGCAAGATTCTTATTTCTTGTAGCTGGGGCTGAGAGAAACCACGCCATTTCACCGTGGATATCCATTGTCAACCTAATCACAAGGTCAATGGCTCGAACGATGGCGCGCTGGTCGTGCAAACGTTCGTGCTTCGCAAAAACTATATAAACTATTCAAAACCTCCAGCCCCTTTAGGTTCCTCCTAGGTCCTAGCTGAAACCCGAACACACCAATGACTTCGATGTGGGCAGTGGCAAACCAGCATTTCACCCCTTGGTGAGCTCAGTGTTTTCCTCGCTTCACCGCGTATCCACGTGGCGATTCCAGGACAGGCCCGTGATAGATGAGGTGGAGTCGCGGCTCCGCACGGCCATCGACCTGCAGGATGCGGTGACCAGAAAGGGGTGGTGGTTTCTGCTTGGTGCAGTGTTTAGGGGGTTCATGAGGGAGGCGTTGTTTTGAGGTTGATGCAGAAAGTACCAACAAAGATGCTGAATTCTCCATCCATCATAGTTCATGCGCAGCGGATAGTAACACTGGAAGATTAACATGGAACCTGAAAACCACGGGGTTGTAGAGGAAAATAGTCTTCCAATGGTATATGTTCAGGTTCCAATGTAATCTTTGCAGGAATAACTGAGGAAAGCAACGCACAAAGGGTTTTGAGCATGCCTTTTTTGCATTCACATCGATTGTTCAACTATGGGCCATGGGTCATCTTACTTGGTGCAGGAGTTGGTACAGATGCTCAAGAACCAAGCATCTCTCACCGATCAAAAAACCGTGTTGTTGTTGCTTCTCTTCTTCCGTGTATTAGTGTATCAAGAGACGGTGTTTCCTGCATGGCAGTCCTCGGCTTCCTTCCAGACAAAACAGTTTACCTAATTCCGGTTCCAGAACGGGCCATGTCATGTGCTGCCGGGCCCACCAGAGCTGCCGGACAGGAGACGGGCGCATTGCTCAAAGCAATCAAGTTGGCCAAGCGTGCGGGCACTTGGAACGTCGGAAGGATGAATCAAGGTGTTTGAAACATCCTCCGGTCTCCTGCACTTTACTTATATACATTAAATCGTGCTATGGAGGTTTCTTGGGACTTTGGAGCGATGGTAGTGAGCAATGACTGAGTAGTTCCGGAAGGGTTTTCCCACCCTCGGCAGCTGGAAAGCGAGGTGCGGATGATGCGGTCAGGGAAAATCCCGAGTATGCGATCGGACGTGGGGCGCCCAGGGTAGTGGGAAGAATATGGGAAGTGGGATGGGTGTGATTCAGTCACTTTGTAGCACTTTGTATGTATTATATATTGATAATTACAAGTGCAGACAGCACAACTGCACAACTGAAAGATTACTGGAGACATGTGGACACTGGTATTCCTAGATGCTGCGCAGTTGGTCTCCAGGACTTGCTATGAATTGAGGAACTTCAAATTGTTACCGTGCTTGCACGCTTCTTTGACTCCTTCATGTGTTAGGCCGCACCCATGAGGAGTCTATCAAGGAGGCGGAGCAATTAGTGGCATTTTTAGAGGCCGGAGATTCAGAACGCCAACTTGCGCTCAGGATGAGAGCCCATTTGCGTCTCACTGGTCGGATCCAGAAACTTGCACTCCCACTCCTTTGATCTTGCGACAAGTGCTAGCTGCTAGTATCGAAAATGAATGAACATGAGCTGTTTGAGACTCACAGCCTGTAGTTTCACCTTTTCATGTCTTCATCCACATGGTATGATCAGGGTCTTCCAGCATGAGAGCACACGGCAAGTGGGCGCTCCGAACGATGCGGAACGGAAGACTGTTGCCGCAGTGTTCCGAAGACGCCACGGTCGATCGATGCCACGCAGGTCGATCTACAGCTGCCCCGTGCCATCCGTTCCAAAGATCAGCAGAAGCTGAAAGATACTTGTCTCGATGAGCCTCAATGTTGTTTGTATGGGACAGAGGTCTTTAGATTCTTTAGCAATGGGCCAATATGGAGTATTGCTTGAGAAGTCAATTGAATTTGGGAACCTATAGAAGTTCTTTTCTTGATTTGCTAGATTCTTGTCCTGTAGCATGAGCTCAGTGGCGGACCTGTGCACGCGTGAACGTCGCGCAGTGAGGCCGTCTTGACAAAGGCGTCCACCTGGTCCATCGAAACCGAGGACGTGATGCAAGGCGAGCGCCCCAAAAATGCACCGAGCGCTGAGCGAACGTCGGTCGTCGAACAAAACGCGCAACAAAAAGGATACCGTTTTGGGTTGCGGATTCAACATGACTGGCTGGTGTTCCAGTAAAGTTGGCAGCACAAATCTTGTGAGCCGAGTGGGTTACTCTCACAGCAGCGAGCTGTAGCGAGCGAGCCTGGAGTCCAAACGAATGCAATGAAATAGTTTTACGATGCCCAACACTCTTTTGTCATCCTTTTCAAGCCAACTATGTTTGTCTACACTAGTACTGTGTTGTACTAATTAATCCTGTATTATATACCTGGCTTTCTTTCCCTACACCTGGCGCTTTCATCACGGGCTGGTTGGTCATGTTCACGCGAAGAGGCCAGATGCTTCTGGGCCAGATCGAAGCAGAGGACGCCCTACGCGCGGCCATCAACTCCAAGAGCCTGGATGCCCGGGGTCGTTGCGGCATCATTGAACCGCCCACATTTTGGATGTGTTTTGATGTTGAACCAACGGAAGCTGTGTGCCAAAAAAACAATGAGACACTGAGGTGAAGATCAGTTGGTCAAAGCCTTGGAGGAGGCAATGCAGACGTTGGCCTTGGAAACCAGTCTCAAAAGCTTTCCTGCATACATGAGTGTGTGTGTTTTTTGGACTGACAGAGTGCGTATGATTGCATATTTAAGGGCTTACGCCTGAAAGCCGGCCAGGGGCCCACATCAACAACTGGGGAGGGGGAAGGAGGAAGGGAGAAGGAGAGGGGAGGGGGTTGTGGTGGTGGTGGTGGTGGTGGTCGTTGTCGTTGTCGTTGTGGTTGTCGTTGTGGTTGTGGTTGTGGTTGTCGTTGTGGTTGTCGTTGTGGTTGTGGTTGTGGTTGTGGTTGTGGTTGTTGTGCTGTGGCTGTGGCTGTGGCTCTGGCTCTGGCTGTGGCTGTGGCTGTGGCTGTTGTTGTTGTTGTTGTTGTTGTTGTATCTCGGGCGATGTTGGTGGCTCTTGGGCCATTTTGAAGTCATCGAGGGGCAATCTTGAAGCATCTTGGGCTGTCGTGGCGCAAAAGCATTGTTAAAGAAGGAAGGCCACAAGACCTTATAAATATTTATAAATGATGGTATACGAGGTCGGCGGCAGGGGGTGGACCCCACTTTCTTCTTCGTAGAAGGGCCCGATTATGGAGGACTACTACTTGGAGATTAATGAGATGTTATAGTATGTTATAGTTTTTGTTTGGGATAGTCTGGGGAATCTTTTTGGGGAAGTGGATTGCTTATTGTTCTTGCAATGTTGCTTTGCCGTTTTTGGAAAGCCCATTCAACCCTCCCTGTGGTGGTCGGGGCTGCGCCACGTCGATTTTTCCGCCGGATCCAATTCCGGAGCCCCTTCTTCAGAATGACTTGAACAAGTTCCAAGGCATTTTTTTTACCTCCTACGGCCAAAAAGAACGTAAAACCTGTGCGTTGTGTCTTGCAGAAGTTCAAAAAAATATGGATTTACTATGATTTACTGTGAGTGTTAGTTAGTACCGCGTCGAGAGCGTGCTTTAAATTGGTGTTGCTGGTCCGAAATTTAGTTAGTACCATCGCATTCATCGAGAGCGTGCTTTAAATTGGTGTTGCTGGTCCGAAACGCGCGCGTCTAGGACCACCACAACCACCACACCAGCACCTCTACATTGAATATCATTTAATATCATTTAATCAACAGAAAACAACCACAACAACATCAGCCACAACAACAACGACGACAACAACAACAACAACCACCAAAACCCCGGTTTGCGAAGCTCTACAATTTCGCGGGGTCGGGCGGCAAGGGCGGCAGCCCGATTATTGACCACTCAGCGCTGACGTCGAAAACGACAAGACAATACCTGATGAACTGAACCCCTTGCTCCAAGGCCTCGCCTTGACAAATGTCCCGAGACAGCTCACCATCTAGTTCATGCAAAAATCAACACGATTGACCACCTGACCAAAACGACAAGACCAATCCCTGACCCTACAAGTACCCACATGGACATCCACAACTCCTCACGGTTCCCCCCAACGCTTCCCGTGCTTCCAGCGCCGCCAGCGCCTCCCCGGGCGCTTCACCCGGGTCGGACATGTTACATGTCCTATCATGGATGGGGGTATCGCTGCAGTATCTCCTCCAGTATCGGTTATGCAACGTATCGCTGCGCGGTTTTTCGCCATGTCGTTCGCGCCGTTCGCGCAGCGATGGACGGACTTCGCCAGGCCTCGCAGCGCAGCGTGGACCGCGTGAGGAGCGGCAGCGGGCCAAGGGGGTGGTCGAAGGTCGTTCAGGTCGTTTCCGGCAGCGGTGGCCTTGTGTGGCCATGCCAAGTCACCCGTGTTCACCGGTTCTGCACCCATGGTATAGCAGGATAACGGGGGATGGATGGTCCGGGGGCTGGGGAGGGAGGCGGAACCACAATGCAGACGCAAAGTCAGAGCCAACCAATAGGTTTGAAAGTGTTCTTCTATGATCCTTGCAATTCCCCTCACTTCCAGAGGGGAAACATACCTCCCTGAAGACGAAGCGGGACTGCCCACCCAACAAATAAGTTGTGGATCATTCGTTCATCCTCAACAACCCAGGGAGATGATGTCAGATGTAAGTCATGCAAAAGAGTCCTGGTCAAGTGCCCTTTTAGGGCTCCTTCCAACGGAGTCAGACCGCCTGTTCGCTGTCGTTCGAGGCATGGATGTTGGGTCTCGAAGAATCAGGTGCCCAAAAGCGTCCGGCGTCCGGGACACCGCCTGTTTCACCGTGCCAGGATTCTGAAAGCGGAAGCGTCCTTGGCACAGCTTCGAGGCTCCGAGCAATTGGCCTTGGCGATCTTGGAGTGCAAGGACTGAGGTTCCGATCAGCGTGAAGACGGCCGGTGTGTTTTTGGGGGCGGTTTCAGATCACCACATGCAGCATCAATGGTTCACATTTGACAATCATGTGACCAGTTCATCTCTGAGGACCCTGAGACGCTGGAGGAGGCGATCCAAAAGGCCAAGGAGGCAGGTTATGACCTCTTTCTCAACAAACAGTGCCAGAAATCGTCTCACTTCGTCGTGTTTCACAGATCAAAAAAGGCTCTCCACCGGTGGAAGATCAAAAGGTGTTTGTTGCTGCGTTCGCCCCTTTTCACCGCTCAGGCCGGCGTGCCGCGCAGCGAAGTGAGCAAGGCAGAGGCCCTGGTGAAGAGCCTTTGCCGCTCACCCACGCGTTCCCTGGCAGCGCCTCGGTGCCACAATGCGCCCCAGTTCCTGGATGGTTGTGCTTCTACAGCAGGGGTTTTCTTTTTGGGGGGGCTGCTTTCATCAGTGGCTTGACTACGTGCCTACCTTGGGTTTGAGAACAGTGCGAACGGAGTTGATCTTCACTAATGTTTCGGCTTGAGTGCCATATGCCTCACTAGTCGCCTGGATGAGAACTAGTTGCCTGTGCGATTCCCAGAAGAAGGCTTCAGACCACACGCTCGTTGGGAGCCCATTCAAATAGCAAGAGCCTCAATGAAGAGCTGTGGCTCGCGCAAGGTGAGCCGTGTTGGTAGCAAGGCCGGATGAGCTGGAGGAGCGTCATTGAATGCAAAACGAAACTCAGGAGCGTCAGTTCGAGGGTTCCCACGTTTTCAATGCCGAGCTGCTTGCAAGTGTTTGTACAACACGAAGTGTGTGATGGTTTGATTGAGACCTACAATAGTAATCAATGTTAATCGTTGTTAATCGTTGTTACATGTTTGGAATCCCTGTGTGCTTCCAGAGCCTTGCTCAACTATCCATCACACAATTGACACTGCATGTATGATATGTATGCGCAACGATCATTTGTTGGATCCAGCCCGAGAATGGTTTCTGGCACAGGAGCTGAAGGCCCTCAGGGTTGTGCCCGAGCAACTCTGCCTGTACCATAGGATTGTTTGGAAGCCAGGCATGGTCATTGGAGGATCAAGCCCAGCAGCCCTGAAATTTGGTCGTCAGGCTAGTGACAAAAAGTGCTACAGTGAAAGGATGTGAAAGGTGTTTCCTCCAACCTCCACTGCCCAAGATTGTAGAGCCGTGGTTGCTTGCCGGTGCAAGCTTTCCATAGGGATAGCGTGCTGCAGTCGTTTTTGTTGCGCTGTTTGACTCGTTTCAAAGTGTGTGTCCGGATGAAGTTTGAGAAATGTGGATATTACAAGCATGATGTACCTCAATGATCCTCAATGTACCTCAAAAAGTCACTTTGGTTTTGGCCTTGCTTCAAGTTTAGCTCTCTAAATCAACATGACATAATAATATGAGAATACATTGTAGATCAGCCATAATCTACAGATGGAGAAGCTGATGACCAGCAGCAAAATGTACCACTAGCATGCTAGACTGCTACCTTGTTCGGGACCACTATCATCGATCGCTTGAAGACATTGGATGTCTCGATGTCTTGCCAATCCCTGAGCACCCACACTCCTCGCGAGTCCAAACGGAAGATGCTCCAAACGCGCAACTCCAGTGCTGCGAATCCATGCAATGCAAGCTGCCACCTGCATCGAAGATGCACAGCGTGAGCAGCAGGGCTCACTTGGCCTGCGGCCATGTGTTTCAAAGGCTTGTGCCACTTGTGGCAAGCCAAGAAATGCTGACGCCCACCAAGTGAGCAGCAATAGCTTGAGATGCTTCAAGGTGGATCGTATATGTGTGGCCTCTACTTCCAACAAGCGTACAAAAGGCAAATAACTTTAAGTATGAATTGCAGTCATTTTACTTATACAAAGTACATGAAAGCCGACGATGTGTTACTAAAATTGTCGGGCACTGTTTCTATTTTCGGGGACCCATTGTAGATCTACAACCCCCCAGCCATCTCAAGAGTGCCTTTTTGCTTTTGCATAGAGCCTTGCACAGTGCATCGTTATCAATGCAGGAGCAAAATGCGTACGCTTGATTTCAGACATGTGTGGCTGATTCACTAGAAGAGCTGATTATCTGGACTTGCAGGCAATCGCTTTCTTTCTTTCTTTATGTCTTTCCTTCTTTCTTTTTCTTCTTTCTTGCTTCTCAGATTCTCTCTCTCTCTCTCTCCCTCTCCCTCCCTCCCTCTTCCTCGGCTAGCTAGGAAATCGGGGGAAGGTCCCACAATGGTTGAAAGACTCCTACAAGTTCTTGGCCACATCTAGCCACCACACAACATATTACAACGGATCGATCGGAAACAGTGGCAAACCCACTGCAGTTGGGGTCACTCCACGAGGGTCCCAGCCGTTTGACCTGTATGTGTTTAATAAAATCCAAAAATCATACCCATGTTGACAGAGCTACATGTCATATGCATTTTGCCAAGCAGTCGTCAACCTCAAGAATGTGAGGGTTCAGCTATTTCAGCTCCGGTGTGCCAGGCGACCTTGAAGGCTGTGGCTCAGGTGGGGGATATAGCCACATCCAGTAGAATCCATGATGTCCTTTGTTGGAGTGATTGCACCAGGCTGATTGGAACAATCAGTCAAACAACCTTGTAAAGGAGAAGAAGCATCAGTATCAGTATTATCTAGTAATCCTGATTAAACACAAGTGTTCACCACCACAGTCCCCTCTCAAAGTTTTGTCTCTAACAGGCACAGTCTTGAAGACTCTGTAAAGATGTTGAATGTGCGACTGACTGGTTCCCCCTTCCAGGACCGCTCTGAGTTGGCGTCGATGTACAGGAGAGCCAACCAAGAGCTTTGCAGGCCGAGGGTTGGAGGGGCGCACGGGTTTTCGTGCCAGCACACATGAAACGGCAGGAAGTTTATACAGTGTGTTCTTTGACCATTGGGATTTCTCATAATTTCTCGGTTTCGGGCCTGTTTGGGAGATTGAAAGATCAACGTGTCTTTTTAGCTCAAGAGAGAGTCGTTCTCAAGAGGTGCTGCAAGGATTGATGATAACCGAGTTCCATCAAGGTTCTTTACACTAGACTATGTACATTGGCTGGCCTGTTGATGGTTTTCTCCGTTCAGAGATGTCCCCAAGCGATTAACGTTGAGGGAAGAACTATGAAGGCCTGTTGCACCACCAAAAAACCAAACCGAAACAAACACTCATAAGACTAAGACCGCAAAAAAGACCCAGAAGAATGCATGCTTTGGGGCTTGGTTCCGGTTCCATCAGACTCCTCTGAACGGCCGTCGTTGTGCAATGCGGAGATGCTGCTCCGACCTCGTCCCCTTCCGACTCGGCCCACTCTCCGCAGGCTGCGGGCCGAGTTGAGCCAACGGACCTTGGAGGTCTTGGAGCTTCGACAGGTCGGCCGGACGGAGTGGAGGAAGCAAAAGGTAGCTCGTCTCGGATGAGGGTCACAGTGTTTTTATGCTAAGCAGGGGTTGCTATGTCAGTCGCACAAGAAGTACAAGAATAGCATGGATTAGCCAGGCATGGGGGCATTGGATGTGCTCCCTTTGCCTCTTGGGCTTTCATGGCTTGGCAAATCATGAGCCAGAACACCGGGTCTAGAAGAATTTTCGTTTGTCGACAGGTGTTTGTCACTGCTTTAAGACTGCGTTGGAAGCAATGGTGAGAGCCAAGGAGATAGAAGAGACCTCCAGAAGAGTTTCTGTTGTGGCACCTTGGGAGCCACCGGACCTATGTAAAGCAAGCTTCCTTCACATCGGAAGCCACCTGGTTTTAGCGCTCCCCTCCGTGTCCTCGGGTCCGCGGCAGGAGTCACGTCAACTCCGTCAGCCTGGCTTGAACAAATGCGTGGCCCGGAAGTCCAGCTGTGGCGTCGGACGAGACGACGCTGCGCTCGGATCGATCTGACTTGGAGTCCAACCTGGATCCAAGCCAACCGTCGTTGGCTGTCTTCAGCTCATGATACCTAGGGGCTCATTGGTAGCAAGTGTATCTACTTCCTTGGCTGTCGAAGCGGTACTTGAAGTAATGAACAAGGACGAATGCTGAAGCGAGCAAGAAAAGGCATTGACAGCCCAGAGGAAGTGATATTGTTTGAGAGTGAGAATTGAGAATGGTCATGGAAGTAAAGATTGCTACTAGGCCTGTAGGTCTTGGCTGATGTCTTTCATGGTTTTCGGTTTTTGCCTCGAAATGAAACGCAAGTTGACATTATTGCACTCACCTTGCTTGACTATGAACACGGCGCAGTCATCCAAAGGCTGTGCTTGCTCTCGAGACACAAGTTGACGGTTGCTGCATGATTTTTTTCAAGAAGGTCGATTTCACAATCCAAGCATGTTGCAAATCCTTACCGTAGGATGCACTTTCTAAATTCAGTGTGTACATATACATTTTCAATTTGTCCAGTACGTGAATATTGCCCAGGTCTGTTTGGATGAGACGGCTCGCTTGGCCTTCGTCCCTTGTGGCCATTTGGCCTCGTGCGAGGCTGTTGGGGCAATGCAGAGATTCAAGTTGGGTTTCCATGACTACTTGAGCGGTTCCAGAGATAAGATCACACTGTTACAGGCTTGTTCACATGGTCCATGCTTAAAACCGTGGTTGCCTCACCAGGCTTGCATTTGCACCCTTTCGTGTATTGGCAATATGATGCAATATTAAATATGAAATATGTGTTGTGTGTGTGTGGTGGGCCTCCACAGCTGCATCCATCCGGCCAGATATGTGCAGCTCAAATCCATCCACTGCAGTGTCCGGTTTGCCGGCAGAAGAGCGAGCGACCAGCTTAGCAGTGTTGATGGGGGGATGTAGACTGGTAGACTGATCGCATCGTTCGGATGTTGAGGAGTTAAGGTCCTACAGTTGGAAGGCGAAAGCAAGAAACCAACGGACTAAAGCTGTTGAAGGAGCGTGAAGGGCACATGGTGGACTGCATCCAGGCTTGTAAGTTAGATCAAATTCATGAGACTTTGCCCCCCGACCTCCGAAAGCATCCAGAACAGTGTATGCATTGTTCTCCTCTTCTTTTCCTCAAACCATAGTAGGAAAGCGCTTTCCATGTGGGCAATCCAAGGCCAATCAAGACATGGTTGATCAAAGCATGTACAATCTACAGATGTCCTGCATAACCCGAATCTGTGGGACGCCTGAGGTCCGTCTTGCCGATCTATTTGCCCTGAAGGCGCGGCAATCCGCCGAAAACCTCCGAGGGACCAGAAAAGCATCCGATAAAGGATAAAGGAGAACGAGAGGTCGCTGGTGGCCGCTTCAAATTCATGGCAAACGCGACCAAACCGCGGAATCTCGAAGGCAGCGACTGGGCCGAGGAGATCATGTCGCAGAAGGTGATCCATTTCGACGGTGTGGGAAGCAGCTTCAAACACGGCGCTGAAGCTCTTCCAACTTTGAATTCCTTGGTCCTTTTGGTTCTCATAGCCTTCGGATGCCTTTGGTATCATTGGGTACCATCCTAGAGTCCAATCCTGCCCTCCAACCTTATCAGCAGTGTATCGGCAGTCAAAAATAGAAAGCATCCATTACAGCTGATTGTTCTTTGTAGAACAAGTTCTGAAAGGTTCTTGACTCCTTTGCTGGATCCGTGGTTTCGGTGCCAAGTAGTTCCAAACTTGTCTTGGCAAACAATATGACATAATATGACAGTATGAGCCTGCTTTCCACCCCATGTGGGTCAAGTTATGCATTTAGTTCCGACTGGGGGAGCTGGCTCCTCCAATTCGCCAACTTTGTCCATGGGTCGAGACGGTCGAGATCGAAGTGCTGCTTGAAAACTGCTGCCGGATGATCAAAAGCTTCCCGCTCAACAGGGTTTCCACAAGTCACCTTGGAGACCCTATGACAAATGATTGGTAGTTGCCTTATGCTGCTTGGAGAATCCGCTGCAAAGTCGGCCACTCCTGAGCTGGCGGGAGGAAAATTGCGAGCTGCTTCTGGACACCTTCCTCGGCTGGTGGTTCATCATCATGTCTGGGTGTGGTTTCTGAGTTCTTCAGAAACACGGGTGACAGGTCTGGGACTTGTGCAAACAACGTTGTGACAGGTCAGCGCCACTGCATTCCCCCTGGTTCAAGCT